TCTCAACTTCTTTAATGGATAGTATCACCTTATTCTTTTATGTACATGGGTCATAAACTGAGATTCTCTTCCTAAATGGGCCTTACGTTTATGTACTTGGGTCATGACCACTAAGGGCTCGAGTCAGTGGATAAGGATGGTGTTATCACTTGAATCGGTAAGATTAACAAGTGAGCACCAACTAATAAGCATTTCCTTACTATTCCACAAGATAAGTTTGAGGAATTAATCAATCAAGGAAAGAGTGCTCATATACGGTAATGTTTTGTCTTTTTTCCTAATTATCTTTCTAATAATTTCCAAATTACCATGTATTATTCCGTGCCATATTTTTTATTTTCACTTTAATTCTATTACCATATATTCATTCGCGCCATATTATTATTACTATGTATGTTTTCGCACCATATTTTTACCTCCAAAACAATTTCCCACCATATTTTTCCCTCCAAAATATATTTTCCTTATATGTTTCCCTCCAAAATATATTTCCCACCACATTAGTTTTCTTTCCAAAATGGGGTTTAATATTCAAACTCATCCTCTAATCATAAGAAATTGATGATAAAAAAAAGAAGAAGAAATTGATGATAAATGATGTGTATTTAAAATCATAAACATAAATTATTATAAGCTATAAAGTTTTACGTTTCTACATGACGATCGTATCATAACATTATCTCAGATAAACAAAAAAAGTGGACAAAATGTTTATTTTTATGTTTTTTTAGGAGGATTTAATTTTAATTTTATAATTAGGCAAATAAGGAAAGTTCAAGGAGTGAGTTTTGCAAACCGCCAAAAATATGGGGGGGAGTGAGTTGCGCGGAAAGTTGGGCCCGCAATCCGATGTATGTATATAAGAAGAACGAGTCGAGCCACTCAGATCTATTCAAAACTGGAAGAACCAAACCCCATGACTCGAAACACAAGCGACGCCACTGGCTCAGTTCCTCATTTCACAGAACACTCTCTCTTCTGCTTCTGCTGTTCTCCAACTCTCAGCTCTCTCTCTCTCTCTGGTAACTCCAACTTTCTCTCTCTACTTTTACTCGTTTTGGTTCTGAACTGGAAACTCGATGAGTCTTGCTTGGCTACTGTTTTGGGTTTTTATTCGTTTTGTTGATTTTGATTCAGAGTTTCTGTTGTTTAGGGGTTTTAGTTTCTTGAAATCAGGATTGCCCTGTTCCCTTTTGGCTGGGAAAATTGAAATCTTGAGTTTTTATTAGGAATTTAATTCAAAGTTCCAATCTTTAATTATCATGTGAGATTATTTTTATTGTATATCATGTTCAGAGCAATATGGTTTATCTTTTTAGATTCTTATCTTTAATTTCTTCTCCGCAACCCATTAGTTTGTTAATTTCTGTTTTTTTTTAACCAGTTTTAAATGCAAAGTTCGATTCTTTAACGTGGGGTTTATCTGAATTTTGCTGCCAATTGCTATTTTTAATGGTTAATTTGCCACTTCAGCTGCTACCCTTTGTTTGAATTAATGGGTTTTGGAGGTTGTACCAATGGACTGGAGGAATCCAAACTGCAGCCTTCGAAATCTTTGGAAGAATCTGATAAAGCTAGTGTTTTGGGGCTTCATAAGGACGCTCCGGAGCCACCGGTGGAATTGATTGCTAATGGGGTGGCTTCTCTAGGGCCTGTTACTCCTAATGCAGGCCGAGAGAACGGGGACTTGCTCGTTGATCTGAAATCTCCGCCGTCAGTTTGCAAGAAGTCATCCATTGTAACTTGCTTGGATTCGAATGCCATCCAAAATGGGGACAACCCATTTGGTTGCTCTGATGATAGCAGCCCCAGGACACCGGTGGATGATGTCTTCGATCCCTTTGTCCCTGGTCGGGAAGACCTAGTTAAGGCACCGCAGTGCAAAAAATATGTCAGCAAGTGCGGGGGCATGGTTGCTCATCAGCTTAACTTTGATTCTCCAGTTCAAACTTCGGAAGATGAGGTTTGGACTGATGTGGAATCCATTTCAGACGAAGAAATGTTTGAAGTTGTGTATGAAAACCTATTGGAAGCCATCGTGTCTGAGCAAACTGAGGGAGTTATTGCTGAATGCTCGAGGAAAGATTGCGGTTCTGATGGCTGCGCAACACCTCCTCCAGAACCGCGTCAAACTGGAGCAGCTGATTCTTGTCCTGGTGCTCCCCTGAGGCCATCAGGGAAGTCAAGGAACATTGTGTGGGGTTAATCAGAAAGCTCGAGTTCTAATTCCAGTTGACTCATGCGGGTTATGTGCGGTGAATTTGCTAGAACTCCGGTACTTCTTTCCAACAGGTGACCTAGATTAGACACAGTAGTGCTAGCATTGTATAGTAGTTGTTGACATTATTTATGCTTTTAGACACAGCGAAAGACATCGTTTTTTATCTTAAGTTAGCATCGGCTAGTGCTCTTTTGGTTTTAGTCAGAATTTTAGAGACAGGGAAGAAATGAAATAGTAAATTCTTCCAACCTCGTTGATCATGTACTGAACTTATTCATGTTCAATGGCTATTTTATCAAATTTCCATATGCGTGAACTCTCTGCACTTTACGATTTGGAGCTATATAATTTGATGATTGGGAATGTCTGTCTGTGTATTTTGCACTTCTTTGAATGTTGTTGGATGATAAGAATTGGTGAAACTGATTGAATGCAGTTGTTTTCTTCTTGGTAATTTTAGTTTATAGAAGTCTGAAACAGGTAGTTTGTTATATATCGAGGATGCCAACTATAAACAAGGCTACTCTGTATATTTTCGCGTGGAGAATTGATTGTCGCACCCCCTTTTCACCCTTGCACACTCTCCCTTGTTTCTTTCTAGCCTTTGGATTGAATAAACCAACGGAGAATTGAGGGACATAAACAAAGGGAGAAGCGTGGAAGGAGAAAACAGGAGAGGTGAAATGGAGGAGTATGATAAAATGGCCTTTTTACATGGAATTTAGATCCTCTCCGGATCTTGAAGTCTGGAGAAAGCGGACCTTAAGATCCAGGGTGTTCAAAGGAGGGAGAGAAAGATCCGGACCTTTGGTTTGTGTAAGGTGGGCCAACACGATAGGCTAATAGGGGCTATAGGATTTAAAATGAGCGGTCCGGCTCTCTAGATCCGCTGGCTCTGGAAACAAAGATTTGAAGAGGATTTGAATTCTTTTACATAGGGCCAGTGTAACAGAGATTATGAGGAATTTGTTCCCCATGGCTTAAATTGTGATTCTTGTTTGCAGCATTTGAGTTTATGTGAATGGAAACAAACCTCTATGAGACACCGCTTTCACTTGACTTTATAAGGCCCCGTTTGGAATTGAGGTGATTTTAAAAAAAGCCACTGTGAAAAAAAGCTGAGGGTCATTTTTTGTGTTTGGTAAACTGAAAAAAAAGGGCTTATTTTGGAAGTTGCTGTGAGAATAAGCTGAAAATCAAAGGAAAAGCTGAAGCTTCTATTTGCTGCTTTGAAAAAAAGCCAGTTTTTTCAAAGCACACGGAGCTACAGTGCTCCTTTAATGAAAAGACACACTATCATCCTGCTTTTTTTTTCCAAAAGCACTTTCACAAAAAAGTTTACCAAACACTCTACTGGCTTTATTTCACAGCCGCTTATTCTCACAGCAGTTTTTTTTCAAAGCACAGCAATACCAAACCAGCCCTAAATCTGGTTGTTCTCCTCAAAAGAAAGCACAACTGTTATTTTTCGAATCTCTGTTACAAAACGAATGTTCTTTCGAATGAAACATATCTGAGTTTATGTATTCTTTTCTGCTCACGTTCTGATGAAATCTTGGAGAATTTTATCAGCATTAATAAAATCTGTTACTTGAATGATTATAAGTGATTGCTATGAAGGATTTGGGTTAAAATCAGTATCTTCATCTCAAATCCAATGTCGACAGAGATGTCAAGGTAGTCAAATCCAATGTCGACAGAGATGTCAAGGTAGTGGTATTCTAAATCAATAAGCGATGTCATGTGGGCAAATTATAGCATGTGATGACGTGTAATAGGCTTGGATACCGCCACCGCCTTGGATACCCGGTTCCCTTTCTGTTTTATACATTAATGCACAAATCCAATAACTCATGCATAAGTTTATCAGGTTGTGGACAAAAAAAGGTCACACTAGTGTTTTATGTTCAGGCCGGTGGGTAGGAAATTTTTTTTTAATGTGCCGGAATTACATACTGATACATCGTTATATTATAATTGATTAGAACTTTTTTTTTTTCCGAGTATCTAACCATCGCTGAGCGTTCCGAATTCTGTTTCCAACACAGAAAAATCTGTCTGTGGGTAGCTTTAGAAACTAGAAAGTTTGTCGGCTGTAAGCCTGTAAGCATGTAGGCACAGCAGATTGTGCCCGTGAAGTTGCTACCACATTCCACATGAACTTGAGTGGGAGTGAAACTTGTATAAAAAAATAGGTATCACATTAATGAGTTATTCAACTTATGAATTTAATATATTGAAAACATGAGTTCAGTAAATTAGTATCACACTCAAATTTTCCAATATATTAGAAGAGCGTGATTTATATATGAGTTCAATATATTAGTATCACTCATTTTTTTCCGGAATAAAAGTCTAAGTTGGGAAATCAAATATAATATAACAAGGGGGTGTGATATCCACACACCCCATTTTACTTCTTATACACCTTTTTAATTTTCGGCCGTCGGATCAGATGAATTGAAGAAAATCAACAGACAGAAATTATCAGGGGTGTGTGAGAAGTAAAATGGGGTGTGTAGATACCACACCCCTATAACAAAATACGAATTTCCATATGGTTTATTCTGTTTTCATACATCAAAATCTATGATTAAGAGAGAAACTTCTAAAAATTGTAGATAATCCGATACTAATCACTCCCAATTAACTCCTAATAAAAAATCTAAACATTTACATGCTATTCTCTCCGTGATTTTGCTACAATCTGCACCTTCTTCTCATGAATCATTCAGAAGCAGAAACAAGAAATAAAAATTCACACAACTCACAAGTTCTATCACAACTTGGCCTTGGTCTTGCAATCTTGTTTTTTCACCTTCATGTTCGGAAACCCAATCGTCAACTGGCACGCCGATACAGCGACAGCATGCTTCTTGATGAACCCCAAGAACGTAACCCTACCTGGAATCCGGGTTTTCGTTTGGAGCATAATCTCACCCCCCAGCACATCACTGATCAATTTGCTTATGTCGTTCGCCACCCGGTCCACCTGCAAAGTAAGCCGGCAGGGCAGCGTGGCGTTGCCCCTCGCCGGAATGTTACCCGGGTACAAATCCACATCCCCGACCTGTGTGCCTCGGTAAAGAAGCAAAGCCTTTCCCGCGCCGTGCTTGAAGCTTGCGTGGTTTCGGTTCTGGACGTTGATCGTGAGGTCGACGGTGATGTTGAGTTCGATCCGAACAGCGGGGAAGGTGACGCGAGGAGCCACGCCATCCACGGAGGCGGTGAGGATTTCAGTTTTCGGCTGTTTGGACTTGAAAACTGTTAGGGCAAGAATCAGGGCGATGAGGAAGAGTAGGAAGTTCACGAACAGGATAACACCAATGGTAATGAGACATAAGCGTTTTCGCTTGTTGGGTTTGTTGTGGTTGCTATTTTCTATCATGGTGTTCGATATTTCTTAAAAGAGAGAGATAGCTAGAGAGATCAGGAGACGGTAAGAGTGGGAGAGAGTGACTTATAGAGAGGAGTATTTAGGGTTTCAAGGTAGTTGGGGATGGTGACTTGATTTAATGCTCGAATCCAACGGCCAGCTAAACACAATTTGATTGTATATCTAACAACTACCTTGAGCTTCCCTCAGGTCACCGTCTTTTAAACGCTTTCCCACACAAACTTTTTTATTTTTTAACAAACCACCTTGAGTTTATCCTAACAATGAACTAGCAATAATATGAAAAAACGAACCTAAGATCTTTCACTTATAAGTAAAAAGTAATATCATTAAACCGTAGTACTAAGTGACATTTCCCCACACAACTTATGTTTTACTTTTATCATATTTTTAAAGGAAAACTAATGAAAATGGCTTGAAAACTTTGAGTTTTAATGATAAAGACAAAATAAAGGGTAAAGTGAATAGTACCAGGATTGACTTTTTAGTGTAAAAATATGGTTTTTCGGTAGAGTGAACAGTACCAGGTGTTTTTCATTAAAGTTCCATATTTTTAATGGGTTTGCAATCCACAAACTCTTTTACCTTCCACACACATCTTACTTTCTGTTGTCTGATCAAATAATTTGGACAAAATCAAATGATAAAAATTAATAAGAGGTGTGTGAAAGGTGAAAATGAGTATGTGGATAGCACCACCCATCTTTAATTTATGGGAAGAGGAATTCAATCTCGGAGCCAGCACAATTATATCTTGACTAACATATGTAATGGCTTATCAATTTTTTTTTAAATTTACGGAGATAGAGATTCATATTAAGATGAAAATGAGAACATAGTGCTTTGTCTTGACCAACATGCCTAACCGATATCTTGTCAACAAACCAAATTTTTTGTTGCAGGTCTATGACCAACATACCTAACCAGCTAATCAACATCTGCATCAACAAACCAAATTTTCTGTTCTGCAATTTTGTTAAGCCCCTTTAATTTATCTCAGAGGCTTCGCATGTTTTCCTTAAATTGTGCATGCAATGCCTCTTAATTTGTTATTAAATTTCTGAAATCTAACTGTTATTGGTTATAACGGCAGCACATATTGCATATCTTAAAGAATTTTAAGGCGATTTCAAAGACAAGGGTAAAGATTGTGAGCAATGCAATGCAAAGAAGTGAAAAAACTTCACACGATCTTATTTGATATGAAAAAACGACAAGTGCATGTCATGCATTGGTTCACATTACATAATATGTAAACCACGTAAGCAATGAGGACTTTTTTTTGGGGGGGGGGGGGGTGAGTGTGCAATTTTGTAACAAAGTCCACCTAAGCAATTTAGACATCTATATATATCCGATGTTCCAAAATAGCATATTTTAGGATGGTTTAAAGTCTTTAACATTATTTTTAAAAGGAAAACTAATGAAAATAGCTTGAAAAACTTTGAGTTTTAACGATAAGGACAAAATAAAGGGTAAAATGAATAGTACCAGGTTGATTTTTCAATAAAGTGAACAGTATCGCGGGTTTTTCGTTAAAACTCTCATTTTTAAAGGGTGGTTTGTAGGGACAATTTGAGTTGATAGAATCTTAACAATTGATATCAAATCGTTTATGTTATCACACAATGTGGCCAGCTCTACAAAATGGATGATTTTGACGTAGCGTGACAAAGAGAAGAAAATGACGTTTTTAAAGCATATAGAACAAGAATCCATCAGAAAATTTACGAAAATCTCAAAATTGTTTATTAAAAATCATGAACGATAAAAGTGATATTCTCAAAGTTATTTATTTATTTTAAAAGAAAATATCCTCAAAACTTAAAATGTTGTTTTTAGCTAGAAACAATGTAACTCGGCAAAAAATGTTTGTGTTAGGGAAAAGCACTGAGTCTTGCTCATGACGCCGCGGTTCTCTTCGAAACAACATGTCATGTAACCAAATCGGACACCAAAGTCCAAATTTGCAAAACTTTGCTGACAAATTTAAGCCTTTCAATCTGATTGTCGATCTACTTGCCATCTGATGTGCATCAGACATACCACAATTCACAAGTCACTTAGTATTATGGTTTAGTGGTATTTCTCTTCACTTGTAAGTGAGAGATCTTAGGTTCGATTCTCGCCAAAGACAAATTTGAATCACATTATTATTAGCTTATTGTGAGGCTAAGCCCCCATTTCCCTTAGTGTAGATAATATCGTTTGATAAAAAAAAATTAAAAAAAAAACCCAAATTGAACCAATCTAATGAATTTTGTTGGAGTGTGAAAAACGACGCTTGACACAAGTTTAGTGTTACTTGCGGTGTTGGTTGGACTGCGATGCCTCCACTCTTTTGTCTTATGTGTTGGAATTATGTTTTCCTTGTAACTTGTGTAACGCAGCAAAGACACACAAGGCCAATGTCAAAATATATTCAGAATCTTTCCAAAAGGAACAAATATTAAGAAACTCGAAGATTATACATTTAGGTAAACATTGATGTTAAAATAGCAGGAGCAGATGGAGACCACATCCATATGAAACTTGAACAATTTGATGAGCAAAGGTTTTAATCTGCCACATATTTTGATGTACATGTTGAAGGGCAAGGTACCAGCCAACACATCTGAACGAACTATAGTTCGCTTAGATATTTCATGGATTTGTTCACACCCCTCGACACCTTCCTCCCTCTATAAGAGCCTCTCCCACCACTACGCTCTCGTACACCAACAATGAAGTGCTGTTGGCGTAATTGAAGGCCACATTGTTAACTTATGGTTGATGAAGGATAGATTCACATCGAGACTAACTTGGAAATGTTATAGTGCGACATGTCGAGATGTCATAATCCACGGAGTCCACCATGGTTAAGGGCTGTTTCCATGTACACTGTCATGAAAAGATCAGCATTGTAGCTGATATTAGAACAAGAACTAAGCCCACTGCCGGGGCATTGTCTCTCTCTATGAGTCGGACCATTTTGTTTTTCAATCACTTCTTACATACTATACGTTGAACATTTTTAGTTGGAGACTCATCTTGAACAAGACGGCTTAATTTAAATGCTTAAATTTCTCTCATTTGCCTTGCATGTCTTCCTAAACTTCTGCATAACCTTTCTCGCTAATTGTTATCAAATCGTTCAACTATAACTGTAGCTTGAATAATGCCGCATGCTTAAATCGCATTGTTGTAGCATATATGTGGATTATGTCAGTTGGTTAGAATAGTGTGTCCGCACTTAACATTGTTTAAAGTGCTCTTTCCAAAAACATATTTCATATGCTTAAAAGAACTTTTAAAAATAAAATAAAAAAGAAGAGCAAAAGTTGTGTTTGATGTAATAATTTCTAGATCTTATAATCTTATTTAATGATAAGAGCGACAAGAACTGAAAACTACAATTATTTCTCTATCAAATTTGAAGAAAAAGAACAAATTAGAACACTAAACACATTTTCTGAACCCAGGAGAACAATAAAAAAGAATTGTAGCTTTTTAAGTGTGCTATGCGCACCTATGGTCCCCAATAGTCTTGCTACGGATATCGATTTCAAAACCGCACAACCTGGTGGAGATCATACCAACCTTAGCCATTCCAAAAACCTTCACTTTTCCGGGGACTTTGGTGAAAGTGTTGAAGGGCATCCTACCCGCCAACAGATCAAAACTAACCTCGGGGTTTCTTTGAAAATGATCAGCCAAAGGGGTGAATGTAACATTCGTGTTGATGGTGGCTCCCGGCGCCATCTTTCCTATCTCTATGGCTGCCTCACCGACGTTCACGCCCTTGTAGAACAAGACTGCAGTGCCCTTGGTGGGCTTGAAGACCACCTTGTTCTGGTTCTTGATGGAGAGAGACATATCCACAGTGATGAGTTTAGGCGCCTGGTGAGAAATGTCTAGGTTTCTTAAGACCACTGCATCCACACGCGTTATGGGGTCCTTTGGCTTGTACTTCGTAAGCCCTAGGATCAGCATTATAAAAAATATGGCCAGAAGAACTCCGAGCACTGCCAGGGCAGCGGCGAGTAACGGCTTTTGTTTCAGCATCGTTTTTAGCTTGGATAGCTCCATACATTGTTCTTGTTCTTGCAATATTTTCAGAGCGACTTTTATGTGGTTTCAACCTTTTTCTTATATACTTTTCTCTCATTTGGCTCGCATGTCTTTCTTAATTTCGGCATGCCCAACCTCTTCCTCTATCATTAATTTCTCAAATCCCACGATATCTTGGATTCGGCATGCTTCCGATCGAGCTTGAAGACATTATTGAAGAGACGGGTAAATATCGTTCTGCTCGATGTGTCAATGCAGCAGGGTAAAGAATTTCTGAACTTGCTATCAAAAGCTCACAACTTCTTTTCATGTAGGATTGAGCTTACATATTGTTTGGACCCGATTTTGCACGCACTTGGCCCATATACTTTAAGATGTTGGATGAAAGAAATATTAAAGATCATGACTGATTTTCGAATAAAAGTTGAATCAATAGTATAATCAATCTAGGTTCAGAGTCCTAATCAAAGACGGCGTGACTTGACGGTGATAGAGTTTAAGCTGAGAATAATTCTAAGTATTTTCAAAGAATTGAAATATCATCAAAATTATACTATTCGGTAGATTTGACCATCACGAAATTCATCCCTATAAATACAAGAGGGTTAGCAACGTAGAGAGCCCCTTCAACTCAACAAACAACTAAAATGCTCTACGCGAAACCCATTTCACACCACTGAGAAAAATACTAACCATCCTAACCTTCTCATCAACATTCCCTTCTCATCAACATTCAGTTTGGATTAACAGCACTGTGTTGACAACCGGCGACATCTTTGGTTTGGATTAACACTGGAACCCTAGAATCAAGCGATCGAGAAACATCTTCAGTTTGGATTAACATTACTGTTTTTGTTTTAGTTGGTTATCTATCCAAGTTTCGGCAAGCAAAGAGTTTCTATTTCTTTTGCCTAAAAAGGTCACTTCATTAATTATCTTCCCAACTAAGTGAGGTGTTACTAGGTTACTTCATTTGCAACACATTGAAAGCCGAACAATTTATTAAACTTTGCAATATCTAGCAACTTAGTCTTCAGGTTCTAGAACCCTAGGCTGAGAGGTGTTCCTTCCCCGTAGTCACTCAAGTGCAGAATTCAGCAACACATTCGACAACACCAACACCACCACATCTATTCTACTTGCCCAACCAAGTTCGGTTGCGAGTTGGCACACTCACATTCACAAAAATAACGTAATTAATTCATAGTCAATCGACATGTGTACCATGTAGACTTTTATAATTTAGGGTCAGCACATATAATTATCTCATTTTGTAAAGATATGTTTGGTCCTTTTAAAACGGGAAGTAAAGTTTAAGACTTGAAGAGAGAGAGAGAGAGAGAGAGAGAGAGAGAGAGAGAGAGGGCAAATCTGGTTACAACTCTTATGAGCAATTTTTTAGCAAGAGAGAGAGAGAGAGAGGGCAAATCTGGTCACAACTCTTATGAGCAATTTTTGAGCAACTTGTTTCATTTTTTAACGGACTCACGAAGAAATTAAAGGAACGGCAAAGATTGCAAGGGCGAGTATCAAATCGAACAAGGTTGATCCTGACCATTTATACTTGTTCATACTTTATGAATTCTACAAACATGAATAACTCGAACGAATTTTATAAGTTCCACAAACATAAATAGTTTGAACGAAAAATCATATTTTTACACTAAAAAGTCAATCATGATACTATTCACTTTATCCTTTATTTTGTCCTTAACATTAAAATTCAAAGTTTTCAAGCTCTTTTAATTAATTCACTCGTGTTAATTAGTTTTCCTTAGAATTAACTCACTCGTGTGCACGACTCATCCTAATATTTCTCGAAAGATATTGAAATGGATTATTTTATTCGGTAATCAGTAATATCATGTAGCCTAGTACCAAAAACTATGAATAAATTCAAAATCATACTACAAAGTGCACTAAAATATAGGTGTAGCAGCAACCGGTGAGGGGCAAATCAGTAAATTAACCTCGCACAAGCAGACAACCATAAAAATTCCGGTGAATAAGAACATCCGATACGGCAAGCAAAACAAATAAAAAAAAATCATAACTTCGTCTTGTGTGTGCAGCGTTGCTGTCCAACAGTGCGGTTACCGACATCGATACTGAAGTCGCAGGAGGAGGTCGAAACGACATGAATCTTAAAGATCCCCAAAACGATGACCTTCCCGGAGATTTTGGTAAAAGTATTCAACGGCAGCGTTCCGGCCCGCACGTCCGAAAAGAGCTCCGATGATTTCCCCAGCAGCCGATCCGCCATGATGGTCAGCGTCACGTTCATGGGCTTCGTCTGGTCCGCGGATATCTTGCCCGACCCGATTTGGGCCTCGCCTACCTGGGTCCCCCTGTAGTTCAAAGAAGCGGTGCTGTTTTTGTACTTGAACCCGACTTTATTCGGATTTTTCACGGATAGATCCACGCCCAGGGTCAAGTTCATGTCCACGCTGACACGTGGAATGTTGAGTGACACGTCGAGGTCCTTCAGAACGGCGGAGTTGACCGTCGTCGTGGGATTCTTTGCCTTGAACACCGTCAGGCAGAGGATCACGAGTACGATCGTTGCGACGAAGACGGCAGCTGTCGCCGCCAGGCAGACGTTTCTGCACGTCCGGCGGCGTGGGGAGGCATCTCCGCCGTACGCGGCTTTCATTGATCTCTCTGAAATTGCTCGATTGCCAAAAGATAGGATCTTTTTGTGATCGTCTTTTGTTTAAAGGTGGAAGCTTTTGGTGGTGGGTTGATTGGGGGATGATGCTTTCAGTCTTGAGAGCCGACTAATATAGCGGTTGGAGCCCACAATAGCTCCAAGACTTGTTAATGGGGGGTTGGGGACGCTTTCAGAGCCACCTAGCCTAATTGGTTAATGCTTATAAATTGGGTTTCATTAGTTTAAGTTCATTTTATTGTCGGGTCCATTATACAATTTTAGAAAATGAATGACGTTACGGGTCAAACTCACAATTTTGTTGTGATATAAAATGAATTTTAGTCATTCGATGTCGTTTCAGCCTTCAAATCACAGTTTTAATCTACGTAATATAATCAGACTTTTCAATTTCCGTTCGATTAATGACAAATAATGTCGTTTTAGTTATCAAAAATCTTTGAGTGGTTCCAGGCTATTGTAATTCTTTATTTAAGTCATTGGATGTATCAATTAAATCATTCAAGCATTAATCAATTACAACCTATTTGATTCATGTTGCGTAATTAGTATTTGCTATTTTTTCTTTTGAATATATTTGTTGATGTATATGGCCTCTTGGTTACGTTTGAGATGATATGTTCGTTATTCGTTGTTTCATATCTTAAAAAAAGAAAGATTATAGAAATTTGCAATACATTAAGTTGACTCAAAGTGCAAGACCAAATTATTCAATATAAAATAAATAATTATGAAGATATTATGTAAAAGCGTTGTCTGATTGAAAGCTATATCTTTAACGATTGAAGCTAGGATTAACTTGTATCAATGCATTAACTTGTAAGTAGGGGGATGATATCATGATCGTGATCTTAATATTTATGTTTAGAGTATGTGAGTAGGCCATCCGGAGTAGGCTCTAACATGTTTAAACTTCAAATTTTGGTTATATTTGCAACATAACACAATTAGATTTTTCTTTTCATTATCGTTTTTGTTTAATTGAGTGAAACAATTAGATTTGTTGGTGGCCTCTGTCATGTCGATATAAAATCATTCACTGCTAGGAGTTGGTTTTGCATATCGTGTTGATATTCTGGGTCATAGTTATTGACGTAAACGATTCTATTCACTTACACTAAAACACTTTAAAATGGTTGTACCAACTAGTAATGCCACCAAGCAGTGAAAACGCCACACACCCACTGTTAGTTCCTGACCATCGGCTTAGATGTCCATATTTCGGAAGATAAGATAAAGCAAACCACATATTTGAAGGGATTTATTCATTGTTGAAAAATATGAAGAATAACAAAATTGCTTTTCAAGATGAAAGATTTCCACTCGAAATTTGTTTCTTGAAGTTGCGTGTCTAACAGTGGTTTTTTTTTTTTTTCATTCGTTAATTGTCAATTCACACACAATGCATTGTTGTCTGAAAGCTTCCAAAATACCAACTTCATGGGATAATGGGATATTTGCATCATTGACGGATGCATTAAGGGGCATGGGGGGTCAGCTGACCCCCTGAATTTAAGTAAATGTCTAGGGATAACTTGTGTGTTGACTTTCCGAACTTCGGTGAATGTCCACGGATGACTTAGGTGCTGCCCCTTTAAAGGTTGGAGTTGCCTTTCATATATGCTGTTTAACTGCTTGATAAAATGCATTAGAGAGGTGTTGCCCCTTTACAGTCTAGTCCTATAATTATTTACCTATGACTTGTTTGTTGGTTGTGATTACAATTGTAGGCAGAAAAAAAAAGAACCAAGTAAAAAACTATCCAAAAATGCAAAGTAAATGAAATGATGATCTCAGAGAATAACAAAACATCATCATTTTTGGACAAACATATTAATGGGATGCAATGATATCAAACATTGTTAGTGTGTTCAAAATAAGTGTGTTTCTTTGTTAAGTATTCATATGGGAGCAGCTTTAGAACATGTTAGTTATCCACGCAAATGAGGCATTAACAAGTGTGTAGTATGCATTTCCAAATGACTTCAGGCCTATCAAGACTTGATGAAATGACGATATGCATGCTATTTCTGTTAAAAAAAATTTGCACGCTGCACACGCTATTCTTACTAACCCCCCTAATAATATTTCCTGGATCCACCACTGATTTGCATATGTGGTTTAACTCGTCATGCCTCCTTTTGAACTATTTTAAAAAGGATTAAAACCCTAACCAACAATTCTTAATATTATATAAAATACTTAAGAACTAGTTTGGTATTGCTGTGTTTTTTAAGAAAAACTACTTCGGTTGTGGTGGGAGAATAAATAACCGTAAAATAAAGTTACTGAGTGTTTGGTAAACTTTTTTTTTTTTTTTTTTGTAAAAGTGCTTTTAATAACTTTTGATAAAAAAAAAGAGTGATTGGTAAACTTTTATATAAATTGCTTTGAATATGTTAAATGACTAAAAATGATATAGTATTTAATGTGATATAATAATTGTTAAAGACAATAATGTAGGGCAAATGCTGTAATTTTGTAAAAGATCTGGGGGTATGCTTACCATTTGAAAATTTCATTAAATGAGCATTGATTACTATGTTTTGAAGAAAAAAAAACACTTTTTTTAGAAGCATGATAGACCATGCTTATGCTTTTCTATGTTTTTTTACTTTCATTGATAGCAGTTTTATTTTATTTTTTTACTTTTTTACCACACACATTTAATGTTCCAGATTTTTTAATAAGTTTTTTTTCCCCAAATCACTACGATCTCAAACCAACCCTTAATACTTGTTTAGAAGTACTTTTAATATATATTGAGCATCACCTCTGTTCATAAGTGCTTCTATTAAAAATGTCCAAAAAATTAATGAAAATTCAAATGTTTTTTTTCCTTATTAAAAGGAGGACAACTGGTGTCAAATCACGGTTATCAATCATTTCCGGGCACATAGGAGGCTAGTTGGGAATTTCACCCTATATGTGGCCACAATCAAGCACATTCACAGCTTACAAAGTATTGAACGTAGGACCTCTCGCTTTTTTTCTTTAGAAAGCTGTTGTTTGCACTTTTCTATTGACCCACTTGTCGTGGTTAAAAATTCAAATGCTTTTTCCAAAAAAAAAAAAAAACAATTTGAAATAAATACTCACAACTTCTTATGACAAATGTTATTAGAAACGTTTTTCATTTCCTAGAAGTGTTTTTAGCTACTTTATCAACATGCAACATGCTCTTATTCATAAAGGACTTTCAAATGCTTTTAGATCGTTTTGGGCCTAATTGGATAGAAACAAAAAAACCCATGTCTTTCTTGGGCTTCTATTTGCTGGACTACAAGGCTTCTTTTGCTGTTGATACCTAACCCTTACCTGCACATAAAGAGATAAAGACATCGACAGAGGACAAGGACACATAACAACACACATGCACGACATGTAACGCAAATTGCAACCGTTATTCCATCGCGGGAGCCATGAGGACACCGACCTCTCGAACTCTCCATTCAACTCGATGCCATTACCTTTGCATTTTGCTCAGTTAATTGCAGTTGGGCAAAAACAAAATCTCGATGCTCTCAATTTTCATGGCGGGCAGGTTGAAGCGTTGGATGCAGTAGGCAAAGCAAAAGAGAGAGTTGGTAGCAGTAGATTGGTAAGAAGTTTTTTTAGTAGATTGGTGAGAAATTTTTGATTCATTGGCATTTGGGCTTGAAAATTGAATCAAATGATGCATTTTTGAGCAACTTTTATGTTGATGATACGGTGATCTATAACTACAAATTAATTTTTATGTTGATGATACGGTGATTTATGACTACAAATTAATGTTGATGATACGATGATCTATGACTACAAATTAAATTTTAGACTTTTTAGTCAAAATGATCTTTGAAATTGGAACAACTCTTCACCTTGGTCTTTGATATTTAAAATCAATAGAAGGGATCATTGAATTTGTTTACCATCAATCATTTTAGTCATTTCGTGAAAAGTTGTCTTAAATAAAGAGCAAAATGACAAAAACACTCTCAATATAATAAACAACGAACCAAAATGATTTGACCAAAATTAAGGCTATTTTTGTCATTTGATTCTTATTTAAAATATTTTTTTTTACGGAATAACCAATATGATTTGACAAAAATTAAGGATATTTTTGTCATTTTGGTCTTTATTTAATAGAGATTTTCACGGAATGACTAAAATAATTGATGGTAGACAAACTCAGGGACCATTAAGGACTAAAGTGAAGATTAAAGTGAGAAATTATGTCAATCTCAGTAACCATTTAGCTAAAAGCCTTATTTTAAATATTATATTACCAACACAAAATGACAAGATAAAAGTCTTTTTCATATATGAAGAAGATAGATTTTTCAATATGTCTTAAACACAGCTAGTATACCACATATTACTATACAATTAAAAATAATAATTTTTCTAGTGCTCTTGTATGATAACGTTTCCTGTTAGCACTGTATTTTCGTCACAACGAACATTTGAGTTTGAGGTGAGGAGTGCGTGGTTGTGGTAGGTGCTCCTACATACAAAATTATAAACACCTAACAACCCTTCCCTTCCCACAAAAATAATCACACAGTTATGTTGTGTGAGCGGCAGCAGCAGGACTGTATACATGGGCAATTTTTAATTATAAATTTGAGAAACTCCAAAACAAAATGGATTTGATAAGAAAGGGTGGAACTTTGCAGGTGGGGTCCATTGGAATGGGGAGTGAACTGCAGCGGCGGGTGGCGGAGCTGGTGTCGGCGGGGAAGCAGAGGGGAACGGAGAGCCCGGTGGAGTGGGCGGTGAAAGTGGGGAAATGGGTCGAGGCAGCTCCGAGCATTGAGTTGGGGGAAGTGTTGGTATCCCAACTCTGCTTCCAACACAACCGACCTTCCCTTTGGAAGTTTCTTGACATTGCTCTCTCCTCCGGCCTCCTCTCCCCTCCCCATGTCCTCTCCATTTTGTCTTCCAGGTACTCTACACTTCCCCACTCACTGCATTTTTTAAAATTATTTTCGCGATTTTGACACTCATCTTTTAGCCTCGAAGACGGCTGAAGGGGTTGAAATTCGCTACCCAATTAACACATTGACAATGGTTTTGTTTGATTGAATGATTTTGTGTATTTTTTGTGTCACAGTGTGATTCCCAATAGATGGTCTCAACCAGAAGCTTATAGACTCTATCTTGAACTCCTGAGAAGATATGCATTTTCATTTGGTCCACTTTCTGG